CTGGAGGGATTTGATGCCATTTGCAATTAGGTGGGAACAATATGTGCATGTATCGACATCGGAAATCAGCCAAAAGTGAGTGTAGCTGTTGGATATCAACAAAAAATATCATGCATCACTAATTGTAATGTTAAAAATCACCCATCTTTAGTGTTGCTTCTACAGATTCAGGGCTTTAGGCTTTGAGACTGTTGCAGTACAACTGTCAAGTGTGCGCTGCTCCTGTGTTTGCTATTTATACATCCATGTGCTCATTTACATGCACATGCATCTTCTAACAAGTGAGAAAGTTGAGAGGAACGGATGACATCCCCGTGTGCACAGCTTGTCCTATTTTTGTTTTTATTTTTGTTCTCACTCTTCACATTAAAGTAAGATTTATACCTAAAAGTAAAGTCAGTCTCACCGTCTCCATTCAAACTTTCATTATCTATTAATGTGTTTGTGCTGGCTTGTAGAGGAATGTGCTACTCCTTTCTATGTCTCCCTCCTGATTGAAGAGCTCCGTCAGGGGAGACACAAGGCAATTCTCTAATGGGCCTCATTGGAGGAGCAGCTCCAGTCAGTAGCAAGCAGTCAATTACACTCAATAGCCATCAGTCAATTATAGTCAATAAGACAAAGCAGAGGACAGCCGGCTCTCTTCCTGTCACTGTTCAGAGTGTCACAAGATTGACCATCTCTTTCGAAATTGGATTCAGGGCCGGGTGAGAGGAATGTTTACGGTAACAAGATTGGATAATGCGCCAGGAAAAAAAAAAAAAAAGCTCACCGTCTCTGGTAAATAACATTTTGTCACTTCAGATGGATGGAGAGTTGTGTGACAAGACCAACATTTGTACACCCCAAAAAAAGTGGACATTCGACAAGCTGCCCTTCTGTTGTTTTTATTTTTCTCCTCCTGCTGAAGGTAATTGCAAAGAGAGTGTGTGGAGGTCAGAAGATGACAGGAATGCTTAGCATGTGTAGACAGGGAACCCTCAGCTGTTGACGTGAAGGTGAAGAGGTTAGAGTGAAGGGATGAAGCGAACAAAAGATCGGGGTCTGATGAAGGTGGATGCCGGCTTCCAGCTGAGCCCCAGATGATGATTTTTTTAACATCACAATATAGGAAATGCCTCCTCTCTGTCGCACCCCTCCCTCTTCTGCTTGTGCTGGACACATTCATTCCCAGTTTTTGCTCACTCCACCCCCCATCCTCTGCTCCCCCAGGTACGTGTTTAGAAACTCTTGTCTTTACAGCTCAATTACATGGCGCAGCCTGTAGTGGGTGCAGAAGGTTGAAGGGGGTCAAAGGAAGTGTTTGCTACTCTGCTGCAAATACAGTGCAAGCTCCAGCTCAGCTATTGGGACTGTGCAATAGGTGTTAAGCTTTCCTCTAGCTATCTGTCCATCCATCTCCTCCCCTTATTCCCACTATCCTCTCCCCCTTCTTTTATTCCCCAGGCAGCAGGCCACATATTGACCTTTGAATCCTCCCATTTTTTCTCTTATGGAGGCACTTAAAGCTCAAACAGAGAGGGGATATAGGGTGTCTGCTCAAGTGCAAACATCTGCAAAACTCACTTGTTCGTACACACTCGCACCGGAAACACTGTAATCCTTTAGTGCCTCAGACTTCATTGTTTTGTTTTTATAAGATTCGAGGTAAGGGCCACTGTTTACCGCTGAACGTCTCTGTCCATTCCTCCATATTGAATGACTAAGCTGTTTGTTCTCAGATCAAAAGATTAGCTTCACTGAGACATAACTTGATGGATCAGTGTGTGCTAGGGGCTGCTTGGCCACCGAGGCCGCTAGCCAGAATTTGGAGCCGCAGCAGAGAATAGCCTCCTATTGTGTGGCTGTCAAGCTGGTTTGCTGCTGTGGTGTGCAGACAGGCCGACACACACACACACATGCACTAATGTACGCACACACGAACAGAGAACTTATCACCAGAAAGAGTCAGTGTCAGGTCAGCCGGCTGGGCCTGTGGACAGCGCTGTATTGTTGCTAGCCTCAATTTCTCCTGGACATTTAACAGTGCAGTCATTCAGCTGTTACTGGTGACTCAGGACCGGCGGGCAGTGCGACCGACGGCACCTGCCTTCACACTGCCACGCTGTTGTGTTCAAGCAGAGACAGTCACGTGAATATTTTGTGCACAAATGAGTAATGAACGTGA